ACCATAACTCTATAGTCTTCTGCTTAAGACACTCCACATAAACTGTCATAAACATACACAAACATAGAGCAGAGACCAGACTCCAGATTCCTTTTACCTAAAACTCAAAGGGATGAATCCTGATTCAATCTAAATTTGCTGTTCTTACCTTTTTGAGCACAGAAGCTTATCTCTGTTTATTTACTAACCAAAGGCAATGTGGAAGAGCAAAGTGCCTGAACGAAAACAACAGAATAGTAAGACACATATTGGCCTGGAGAAATGAATCAGAAAGAGGCAGACTGGGATGAGAAACTTGTTGAAACTTGGGCTAGGGAAGAAAAATTAGTTGGAGTTTGGATTTCAGGGGGGTCAGTCTCCTACTCCCATGATGGAAGTACCACAGCTGGAATAGGACCTGTGGCACATTTAGTCAATAATTTAAGGTCTCACTGCAAGCTAGGCTGTAGCTCTACACCTATAGTTATATTGTAGCTATCACTACAATATGCAAAAACTGCAGATGACAGTGTGGTGGCAGAGTCTAACAGTCTGATTCTACAGCTAGCAATCTCAGAAGGCTTGTAGCCAAAACAGTCACTGTGCTGAAGTCTCTGTTCCTACATCTGGCTGCATGGCAGAGCTCAGAGGGTCGTGATCAGCAGCGCAAGGTCTAGCTGGAGGCCTGTAACCAGCAGTGTCCCCCAAGGGTCAGTACTGGGTCTAGAATAGTTCAATGTATTTATTCATCAATGACCTGGATGAAGGGACAGAGTGACTCCTCAGCACGTTTGCTGATCATGCAAAACTGGGAGGAGTGGCTGATACACCAGAGGGCTGCGCTGCCCTTGGGACCTTGGAAGGCTGGAGAGCTGGGCGGAGAGGAACCTCATGAAGTTCAACAAAGGCAAGTGCAAGGTCCTGCACCTGGGGAGGAATAACCCCATGCACCAGGACAGGCTGGGGGTTGACCTGCTGGAAAGCAGCTCTGCAGAGAAGGACCTGGGAGTCCTGGGGGACAACAAGTCAAGCATGAGCCAGCAATGTGCCCTTGGGGCCAAGAAGGCCACATTATCCTGGGGTGCATTAGGCAGAGTGTTGCCAGCAGGTCGAGGGAGGTGATCCTGCCCCTCTCCTCAGCCCTGGGGAGGCCTCCCCTGGAGTACTGTGACCAGTACTGGGCTCCCCAGTACAAGAGAGGCATGGAGCTAATAGAGAGAGTCCAGCGAAGGGCTACGAAGATGATTAGGGGACTGGAGCATCTCTCATATGAGGAAAGGCTGCGAGAGCGGCATACACTGAAACACAGGCAGTTCCATCTGAACCTGAGGAAAAACTTCTTTCCTGTGAGGGTGACAGAGCACTGGCACAGGTTGCCCAGAGAGGTAGTGGAGTCTCCTTCCCTGGACATATTCAAAACTTGCCCGGACGCGATCCTGGGAATATGCTCTAGAGGACCCTGCTTGAGCAGGGAGGTTGGACTAGATGATCTCCAGAGGTCCCTTCCAACCTCAACCGTTCTGTGATTCTGTGATCTTCACTGCTACTGCTATCTGTGCTGAAATCATTCCTTCAGCTGCAGCATAAACAAAGCTGTAGTGTCAAGCCAATTATCTATAGAACTCTGCAGGGGTAGCCTGTGTTTCTTTGGAGATGCTATCTGCTTATATACATGTTAACCTGATTACAATACTTCAACCTCTAAACTTTACTATTCTCTATTTAGCTGAGTTATCACTCTCTGATAAACTTATGTTCAAGTTCTTGACAGCTGATGATAACGATGATACTCTATTGCTTCCAGCTGTATATCATCAGCAGGCACTGCTAAAAAATATTTCAGTAGGATCATATCTCAATTTTCTTTCCAGTACTTGTCTATTTTGGGTAGCAATATCTCTCCAGCTAAATATTACACTTTATCACATAACTCCTATTTTTGTGCCTACTCTGACAGAAAACTGTATATGAAATACCATAATCTTTTATTCCAGCTCTTGCACAGGAAGAATGCCCATTACCAACACATTTTTGCGATTGCTAAGAAATGCAACTATTAAAGCATTAAAAATCTTGGTAGATACTGTAGAAAGATTTTACAAGAACTAGAGATCCATGGAAGAGGGGCTAGTACCGTCATACCATTTATAAAAGTTTTGTCTCAGTGTAACAGTGTAATATTCCTGGAACATCATAAAACTACAAAAGGAATTCCCTCTCTGCTAAACTAAGAAAAGGCATTTGAATTTCAGTCTCCCAAAATCCATCTGGGTATCTTTGCTATCTGACTTTTGATTATTTTGGGGGTGGATGAATCTGGTTGTCAGCTTCATTCCGATGTCAAACTGGGCAACTTAAAACGCTGAAATTTTTACAAGACACGTAAAAGCTTTTCTATCACGCTCTTCTAGGACTTTACTGCTTGTGAGATTGTGAATGAAAATACTTATATTACTACTGTGATAGGTTTTAAATGATATTTGCAGAGCAACTTATACAGATCTTACTACATAGCCCTTTATAGAACAACGTTAACAGGCACAGTACAGACAGAAATTAGATTCCTCATGTTCAGAAGTATATCCAGCCAGCCTCTTTTCCGTAACTACAATAAAGAAAACAAATATGTCATGGAGATCAACTGCTCTGGCATATTAAATACTGTTAGCTCACTGGGTCACAGATAGACACTGTTGTAATCTTACCTAAAATTCACTTTCCTATTTCACATGGTATCCTTTACTGTGTCTATAAACCACAAATCAATTTTCATGCTTATTTTCCTTTGATGTGCAAACATAGTATATTTGTATAACCGCAAAATCTATTTTTAATTAGATGACAACTGGAAAAGTGAAATAGTGGTTGGTGTTTAAGGGTAATCTACAGACCATTTTCCCAGTTTTGGGCTCTCTAGAGGAGCATGCCTTTTAAGAAATGATGTCAAGTACCCTTATTTCATTTTTTTTTCATGATAAAATCGGGATTTTCTGACATGTTAGTGGACTGACTTATGTCATATGAGAAACATATCTTTTCATATCTTTACCAAAAAAATACTGGAGTAGATTGTACATATATAACTTGTCAGGCCAGCTCAAGATATTGGACTTAGACTGAGGTCGATAATTTGTGTTCTGGTTCCCTTAGAAAAAAATGTTCTCTGCTGCATTCTAAAGCAAATGTGATAGATCCCACTGATTACCTAATAGCCAGAAAGATTGAAAACAGCAGTGGCAAATACATTTTTAAACTGAATTCACCTCTTTATAATTTGAAGAACTTTCACTATGTAATTTCTTTCTTTTCTTCCATGAGAAAGAAAAACAGAGAAAACCAAAAACCACCTCTATCTTCAATTTTTATGGAGAGAACCAATCTACAATGGCATTTTGTCATTTCATGAAAGAAGAGCATATATATACTCTTTGTTTGGTAACTATAATTAAAAATCTTGTTAGCTCTTGAATATGAAAGCTGAGTTATCATAAAGTTGAGTTTAACATTTAAATACAAAGAATCAAAGTAATTCAGGAGTCACTACCTTAAAACTTACAGCTCTTTTGAAATGAACTTCTCATTATAAAAGATACCAACCAACAAAGCTAACTTTACTCTATTTTTTCAAATGCATTCCTCAACATTATAACACTCTTTACATATATCTTACATGAAAAAGAGACATGGATTTTTTTTTTTTTTAATTGTGATATCACTCCAAAATGTCACACATGTTCATCTTTGGAAAGTTTAACAAGTAATTAAACCATAACCATTTAAGAAATATTTTTTGAAAGAAATGCTTAAAACTGAGGAGTTAGTAGCTAGTGTGCTCCCTTTATAAATCCAGATAACTCCTGCAGCACTGCACCTTGCCAACTGTCTAAAATGATAGATAGTACGAAGCAGAAAACAGCTACCGAAATAAGAAAGAAATACAAAAGCTGCTTATAAAAAAGATAGGGCAGTGCTCATTCAAGAACATTAGTTGCCATATCCTGTTTTCACCATATCCTGTTTTCACTGACTGCAGTGGAAGCTTTAGCATTGACTTCAAACAGGTGCAAGTCCCACTGGACCAAAGGGAATAAAACGTACAGTCACAGTATGAAAGCAACACTGTATAAAGGGTGGTGAGACAGGATATGTAATTTCAATCTGGTACACAGGAATCTGACCAAAGCTATTTAAATGCAGTGCCAAGTAAGGATGTAACCGAAAACACAGTCATTTCTTAACAGAAATTTGGCAGGCCTACATTCAATGCCACAAGAAAAGAGCAGGAAAGATTTAAAAGAAATGAGAGAGCTAAAATGTAGTGGAGAGAGAGAACAAGGGGGACCCAGAAGCAGCAATAAGTATCATCCTGTTCTGTAGCAATACGATACCACTTGTTCGGGACACAGCTGCTGGCATGTCTTGGTAGATACTGCAGCCTAATCTGCTCCAAGAATTATTGGGATTTAGATGCAAGTATATTACCCATTTTTATTTATTTTTCTCTGTAGTATCACAAACATTTCAAAATGTTTGGGGGCTTTTTTTAACTTACATAATCTTCAAAGAGAAATCTTAGGCTATATTGTTACATCAGTTGAGAGAGTTATGCATGATGCCCTCAGTTAATTCTGTAAAGAAAGTAGCTGAGATGTCATTATATTAATTAGAAGCTGGTCAAAAATAAAGTGCATATCCCAAAGGAAACTACAGAACTGCAATATTTCATTCCAGTCTGAATCGGAAGGAAACACTACACAACATAAAAACTGTCTGTCTAAAATAGTGGTAATAAACATGAAACGGTCTCAATATTAAACTCAATCGGATGAGTATTTACAACAGGATGACTGAATCTCAGCGTTTAATTTTAAAACTGGATTTTGAAATTAAAATAAAGACTGAAGAGGACATTTTTGAACTGAATAAGAAAAGACTAGACATAACTGTAAGAGATAAGACAGAGAGGAGATTGAGAAGCTATGCTAGTCAATAACTTTTATGATGAAAAGGTAAACATATACCTGTGCAAGAATGGGGAATCCGAGGTTTCTGCATCCATTACAAGGTGTTAATGCCTCCCATAAACCTGAAGGACCACAAGTATTTTCACCTGCATCATCATCTTCTTCCTCTCTCGGTGATAGACACGTCGAAGAAAGCCTCTGTGCGTAAAGAAACAGTACTTCCAAATTAAACACAGTGATAAAGAAACATTTTGCTTAATGAAAAGATTAATTTAAAAAATTCACATTTATAAATGCCAAAAGATAATCTGCTATTTTAATGCAGTGCAGCAATTGCTCAATTGTTAATCTGTTGTATGAAAATAGGACTTTCTAAGGAAGGTTTATGTTGAGTTACCTGCAATTATACTTTAAATATGAATGAATATAGAATGAATATATTAAAAATATATGTATATTCTTCATTATCAGATATATATGTATTATTCTTCATATTACTTTGTTTTACTTTAAAACTTACCTTGGTTTTATTAAGTTTAGAATAGCCCAGAGAGAATGAAAACTAATGTTTTTCATGAAATATACTGTCCCTCAAAGGAAAGAATATAGGCTAAGGGGATCTTGCTTTAACAGTCACCTAATGTGTTCAGAAAGCAAAAAATAAAACTGTACTATGTTTGCCTGGATCAGCCCAGGGTTTTTGCAGAAAAAAAGACACATTCAATCAAAATTTGAGATTTCATTTTTTCCTTGAATGTAACAATAACAAACATGTTAGCTTAGTTTTTATGGCAAATGTTTTATTTAAAAATGACCTGTCCTATAGTGTCACCTCAGCTAGAAAGGATGGAAGGTTCTAGAAAGTCTTTCAGTTCTGAGCGCTAAGGATCCCATACTGGCCTCAGTGATAAGGGAATAAACCTTACTTTTGTTTTAAAAAGTATTCTAATATTTTGTGACAGGCAGAAACAGAAAGACTGACCACTTTCCATTTATTTATGTATGCTATTTTGCTACACAGGACAGTCCAACCCTAACTGAATGAATTTCAGTGGCAACTTGATTTCAGGAAGAGAAGGAGGAGAAGACATAAACCAGCGATGAATGATTTTAAGACTCTCATGTTAAAAAGAAAGTTAGAGCAACAATAAATTGCAAGTTTTACTCCCATCTGAACGCTATGCCACAGATAATTACTTTGTCCATATTTAAACTGGAATATGTAATAGCTGTTCTAGCCTGCTTGGTATTTGTGCAACCTACCCGACATTCAAATACTAAATGTTACGTTCAAGAATGCTTGTTTGTCTTAAACCGGATAATAAATCTTGCAGAAGTGGCTGGGCTTTTGTGTGACCAACGAGGCTGTTCGAGACAATGGCTGACCACAGCTATTAATCTGATGGTAACATCAACTCCAAAGCACACTTAGGAAGCCCACGTAAAACACAACCACCTAACTGTAGATTATTTTAACCAATGGAATAAAGAAATGAGTGGAGTCTGCTGCAAGAAAGAGACTGCAGAGCTGAAAGGAAAAACAGGGTGGAAAGAAACAGCAGCAGCAGCAGCAGCAGTTCTGAAGCTGAGCGTAAACTGACGGGTACCAGTAATCGAAGCGAGGTGAAGGCACGGCGCAGACAGCTGTAACTAAAGTTCTGTAACATCTGAGGGTCATCTCACTTTTGACCTGCGTACTAACTTCTTATATACATATGGGTATCTCAACATCATTTAAGCAGAGTAAATACTTCTAAATTCTTCCACAGTTCACTCACCAAAGATGAGAAAGATGATATATCCGTCGTCACTAGTCTTGTTCCCCTTATTCAGAAAATGTTACAAATGTGATAAATCTAGTCACATCTTTTACAGTTTTATGTGGATTTATTTACTTTTTATTTTAAAAGTCATTTTCTGATACATTCTTAGCATGATATTTCATGAGGTTATTTTGACAGTCAGGTGGTACCACAGAATGTGTTGCCTAGCAACCAGTATTCGTACATGGGTTATTAACAGGCAGGGGTTAAGTCTGCAGAGCGTGGGTCGTGAAGGAATATTATTGTTATACATTTGCATAGACAAAAGAAGTAGACTGCGGGTCCTTCCAATCTATTTATGATACCATCTTCCATCGTGTTTGCCCTACGCTTATATTTGAAATCTCAGAATTGTTGTACCTCAGAATAAAGAGCTTCTTGCCCCCTGGAGCAAGAAGCAAAGAACTGCAGCAGTGCGAGGTACCGGAAAGCATGTAACACACCATTGTGGCCTTAAAAGCCAATATAAATGAATGAAGACGAAAGTCACAGAAAAAAGTATAGTCAACGCACCTTCTAAAAGTAAAAATACACACACACAGAGAAAATTCGTTAACACAACTAAAGGAAGATCAAAATGGATAATGGATAATGAAAATGAATACATTTGAATCATTCAAGGGAGAACTTATGAGTATTTAGTAGCTGTTACAGAAACAGATTACAAAATATCATCGCTAAAATATTATTGAACCGCAGAAAAATATACATAAGCAGTATGAAAGAAAGATATATTATTTACATTATATGTAATGTATATACATAGCCTAAAATAAACTGAGGATCATGGGAATTTAAATTAGTGCCGTCAACATGAATGAGAAGAAATGAAGACTATAATATAGTCAGATCGCCTGATCCCGCAGAAAAGGACAAATAGATGTCAAAACTCATTAGGTGGTTGTTCAGAATAAATTGACTAGTACTCTTATGCAGCCAGGCTATCCAGGTATGGATGGCAGGATACATGCTAATATACAGACTACTGCAGATTAGGGTTGGCTATTTCATATTGAATGGCTGATTTCTGTCATCTTCTTGCCCAGATTTCTGCTTCTGCTATTGCTAAAGCACTGAAAAAGACACATTAGGACAAACGTATGTGGAGGAGACAAGCAGCAGCTATCTCTATCAGCTTTCTCACCCACTCCCACTGCCAGAAGCCCAGCTGTTATCAGACAACAGGCACAAAGGGATAAGTAGGAGTTGCTGCAGGGAAAGACAGTAGCAGCTGCAAAAAGGAGGGAAGGAGTTAATAGTTGCATGAGGGAAAGGAGAGTCAGAAATCCTCCAAATGGAATAGACTGGGTTTGCATATCCTTGGGAAATGAGGGTAGCTGGCGAAGAGAGATGAGATACAGAAAGACCTATAAGACATCCACAGACCTCAGACTGTCACACAAGCCCCTGAAATTCCTACCCAGACCACCCAATTTCCTGCTGTTCTCCCCCAGCCTTCATTCCTTTCTCAGAGCTCTCTCGCTTTTCTGCTCTGTGGTAAAATTTAATTTTGCCTCTGAGATCCTTCAGACACCAAAAATCTAATTCTTTGTATGCTGTTGGGAAGCCTTGAGATAGCTCTCTAGGGAGAGGTTTAGTGGAACATAACTTATTTATGCCCCCTCCTCATAAAAAAGACATAAATAGAGAGGAAGAGATCTCTTCTGTCACCAAAAAAAAAAAAAAAGGACACACTTGAAAACCTCTCATACGTGCCTGTTTTTACCCCAAAAGAAATAGCAAAACTAGTTACAAAACACTACCTAGATCATAGATGCTAAATCCACTGAATTTTACATTAAGCAATGATGATGTCAACATAAACTGTAATACTGAGCTTCAAAAAGGTCAATTCTGTCTAAGCTAAAAAAAGCATAAGTGTCAGCACCACATATCGTCAAAACAGATGGAAAACCTTAGAAGACAGATATTATACATGATTTGCAGAAAAGAATAATTAGTAGGGAAATCACAAGAATCAAAGATTTAATAAAAGACTTAGCTATGATTTTTAGTGGAACACTGAAATAAGTATTAAAAATTGATTATAGCAGTAAAAGACTAATAATACAATTTCTCTGTATGTAAAATAGAACTAATAACATAAGAGACTAATAACATAGCAGTAAGAGACCAGTAAGATTAAGAGCAAGGTCATTGGACCATTACGATGGTGGCAAGCTTCCCTTTGACTTCACTAGGCCCAACATGTCACTTCTGATCGTCACAGAAAACGAGCATTTAGATTATGTCTTTGAAAATTTAGGCATGGAAGTCTTCATCTTTATGTCTCCATCTGCACAAAAGGCAGAATTTGTCCAGTAGGAAACTTCAGACTGAAAAATGCTTTATCCTGTAAACAGGCTATCTGTTCACTTGGTATATTTATGTAAATCAGATTGGCTATCACAACTTGACACCTCTCTCCCAATTTAAGAGAACAAACTAATACTAAGCAACAGATAGGAAAGGAGTATATAGGAAAAAAGCAGTGAAAGTCTGTCCTGCTCTTAAAAGTCAACAGGAAAATAAAAAGAGAGTATCTTTAATCTTAACTATTACTCAAGAGCTACAAAGGGCATAGCTCAGGAAGCTTTATACCATGTATAAAATAGTCCAAAGTTTTGGCTTTCCTTACTATGGATCACAACAATTTCAGAAGTAATATAGTAACTCATTATCCAGACAAGTTTTCTCCATGAATACAATAAATCATATAAAACCTTTTATTTCCTTTTATTCTCTATTTTTTCTCAATTTTTAATGAAAATTTGTCTCTGCTTTTGGCGTGACAGTTGCAGCAGCCCTTGCTAAACAAAATCTGATTTAATCCCCTGGTTTCAGGAGCGAGAGAAGATTTTTCGGTTTAGTCCAGTGAAACCTAAAACCAAACATCACACTCTTTCTTTATTTGTTGTATCTCTGTTTATCTCTGTCATCCATCTGTGCAGAAGCACGGCAAATGCCCTTTCAGTTAGTATCCTCTAGAACAAGGCAGCAGCAGAAAAACTGTCAAAGACAGAAAATATTAGGACTTCTACCATTTGATATTGCCTCATAGTTCTGGACACTAATGTTAACTTTTTGCCTATCTTGCAGTATATCACAGATTAAGAAAAATAAGCAAACACTCTACTGTGATTATTACCACAGTTACCGTGCTGAAGTTATGGACTGCCAGACATGCAGAACTCTGCCCTTTAAACACAAGCTTGGAGTGTAGGATTATTTTTAAATATCCTGCAATTTTATATTCTTTTATCTCACCTCTCAGAAATGTAGCAACAAAACTGAAATCAACCCTTCCTTTGGAAGGCATCATTGCGGTTACGGAAGGCAGAAAGCAACCAGATGTTTGATAAGCTTAATAACACC